CATAAAATACAATTTTATTCTCATAATTTTACGACTTTACTCTCATAATTTTATGACATGCTGGTGAAGGTTTTCCATCATCCAGGTCCTCGTCATTCCAAAAAATTTTAAAACAATCCACTGGACTTGGTTTCCAAGTTTGACATGATTTTACGACTTTATTCTCGTAATTTCATGACTATTCTCGTCGTGACTTTATTCTTGTATACTCCGTCGTAAATTACATGGCGAGAAAAAAATATAATTTATTAGAATAAATAAAGGAAACCAAAATTTAAACAATATGTGAATAATTAAGCAAAGAGGGATTAAAACCACTAACAATTAAAATAGAACTCTTAATCTATGTCTGATGTTTATATTCAACCATTTATTTTGAGAGTTGATCAGTTTGTTATTTCTAAGTTGCTGCAGGGTTGATCCTCCGCACTAATCAGATAAAGCTGCAATAAACAATGACTGCGGCTTAGTTTCCAGCACATGGTTCTTGTCTGCAGGTCCACCTGCTGACCGTCTGAGCCGCCAGATTTACTGCCTGATAAACAGCCTCCCTGACAGCTTCACCGTCTGCCTGCCAACATCTGTTTGATCTCACCTGGTTCTGTTGGAACGGCCCGCGCCCGTCTGGGCGGTTCTGTTCTGGTCGTCTCCGCTGTCGTTGCCTCTGTGTCCCAGAGCGAACTCCAGGGTCTCGTTCAGGTCCAGCGGGTCGTCCCGCTCCGGGTCGCTCAGGCCCATCCCGGGTGGGAACAGAGCGTCCCCCTCCGTCAGCAGCTGATTGGTGGAGATGTTGATCAGCAGCTCGTCTGGACTCATCCGTCCGTCCAGCAGGACCCTCCAGATGAGGTTGGTGGAGTCTGGAGCAGAGTCCAGAGGTCCACCCGCAGGGGGAGGTTTGATGGTGCTGTTGCTTTGGTTCCCTGGATATGGAACAAAATGGAAAATATGATCTTTTCCTTCATCTGCAGGATTTCTGATGCTTCTGTCTTTTAGCTTCATTAAGAGGTGAAGGCTAGTTATAGAGAAC